AAAAAATCTGAGGGCCCAGTCAGTAACTAAGGCTAAGGTTGTTAAGCCCACTTAGGAAGTAACCATGGAATCTTCTTAACAATATAACTCACTAGACTTTTTAAAGAAAAAAAAAAGTATGTAACTGTTCAATTTTATGAAATACCAAAACTGCCCCAGCCTCCCAAGTAGCTGGGATTATAGCCTTGCACTACCATACTTGGGTTGGAATGAAAACAGGCAAAGAAAAAACAAAAACCCACAATTAAGAAAGCAGATTTCATCTACTTCTTAGTTGCCTAAGTGTTCAAGCAACTTCTGAATGATACAACAGAATTTGAGGTAAGAAATGACTGCACTATCAATATACCCTAGAGTCCCTGTCTTAAGGATGAATATGATAATGTTCATAGTATATATTGTATCAACTAACAGATTTTAAAGGACAAGGAGGTAATCAATGACAAAAAAAGCCACTTCATTACTGCTAAAATTATAATGATGGCAACAAGTTTTGAGATACTGTTGCAGTACTAGGGATTGAGTCCAGAGACATTCCATCACTGGGCTCCAGCTCCAGCCCTTTTTTAGTTTTTTGAGACAAGATTTTGCTAAGTTGCTTAGGGCCTCACCACATTGTCCAAGCTAGCCTCAAACTAGCAATCCTCCTGCTCAGCCTCCCCAGTTGCTGGGATTACAGGTGTGTGCCACCATACCCAGTTTAGGCAGTTGAACTTGTCAATGGCTATGACCCCCAGCCTCAAGTCAGTTACTTGGAATTGGCAAACTACAAAAGTTGAGAGGACACAGCCCCCTACAAGGCTGTCTGTTTTAGTCAGCTTTTTCACTGCTATGACTAAAAGGTCCTAACCAGAACAACTGTAGAGGAAAAGTTTATTTGGGAGATCACGGTTTCAGAGGCCTTAGTCCATAGAAGGCTGGCTCTATTCCTCAAGGCTAGAGGTGAGGCTGAATATCATGTTGGGTGAGTGTGGCAGAGGGAAGCAGCTTACACCATGATCAGGAAGCACAGAGAGATAGAAATACATACCCTCAAACCACATCCCAATTCTCACATCCTTCAGTCCCACCCTCAATTTAAATTTTCACTCAGTAAATCCCTATCAGGTGATTAATTCACTGATTGGGTTAAGACTCTCATAACCCAATCATTTCTCTTCTGAAGCTTTTTGCATTGTCTCACGTGAGCTTTTAGGGAACACCACATCTAAACCAAACACTGTCCTCACTTCTGACACAAACTATAAGTTTGCAGGTGATTGCAAAACCACCCTCAGGTTAGAGAGTGGGGCACAATGGGGCATCCCTGTAATCAAAACAGCTCAGGAGGCTAAGGCAAGAGAATCTAAGTTCTAGATCAAGGCAAGAGAATCTAAGTTCTAGATCAATCTCAGCAATTTAGCAGCTAA